TAGACGTTGAAAGAGAAATACACTGTTGGTGCGAAGGAAAGAGATACAAAATAAAGAGATACAAAATAAAGAGATACAAAATAAAGAGATACAAAATAAAGAGATACAAACTAAAGAGATACAAAATAAAGAGATACAAAATAGAGAAATTTACTTGACTAGATGGAGGTATTAAGATGAACCAAAGAGAGAGATGAAAAGATAATGAGATAGAGAGAAGGAAAGTTGCACACAGAGATAGAAAGATAAAAAGGTGAAAGAGAGAGATGAAAAGATAATGAGATAGAGAGAAGGAAAGTTGCACACAGAGATAGAAAGATAAAAAGGTGAAAGTGAGAGATGAAAAGATAATGAGATAGAGAGAAGGAAAGTGGCACACAGAGATAGAAAGATAAAAAGGTGAAAGTGAGAGATGAAAAGATAATGAGATAGAGAGAAGGAAAGTGGCACACAGAGATAGAAAGATAAAAAGGTGAAAGAGAGGGATGAAAAGCTGATTTCTTGCGACCCACTAGTTTCAAAACGTCGCACTAACGAAGGTGTCATTTCATCATGTTTCCCACAGCTTTTCTAAAAACACTTTCCGGATCTAACACCATCATGCAGTCCTGACATACTCAAAGTATACAATACACTTTATTCCCACTGATAATATGAAACAGACTAGCTTTTTTTTTTATTTCAATTATTCTTAGTGGTCCTTGTGAGGAAAAGTTATCTGTCAGTCACTTGCAGATCTCAAAAACAAAAATGGTATTAAAATTAATTTCCCCATCGTCTACATCTTGCGTGAATTAGTGCAACGTCTACTTTTCGTCTTGCAGAAATTGAATCTTTTTTTTTAGCGCAACGTTTATATTGTCGGGGAGGAGATGTGATGGTGATGGGGCTTTAGGCATTTGGGATAATGCCTGGTGGGCCGGTACCCAAAAAAGCAGGTGGGCTAACATCGAAAGAGTCGTTTGGCATTGCAGTAAGGCCCTTACAAAAGATTTTAGAATAGTTTCTTTTAAAATGGCGACCAAGAAGAATCGCGATTGGGCTGCTCATTGTCCTCTATGTGGATCTGAGACAGAAAGCAACTAAACTTCTTGAACGCTTTCACCGAAGATGTTTGCACCCCATCATGGACATACGTAAGCAAGGCTGCACTACAAACAGCGATGCTCTTGCGAATGCCGGTATGAACTTCTTTAAGTCCGACAGTCACGCTGGGCAGAGCATGTATGGGGGACGAGCATATGCCAAAGGCAATCTTTTTTAGTGATATGAAAGGTGGTCGTTGTAACAGAGATGCTCTAACAGAAATGCTTCTTCAGAATACTAGCGCAATGTTTTTCAGTCTCTTAAGAAAATGCGCCATTTTACTTTGCTACACCATGTGCGTGTTTTACCCTCTAACGTACATATCTTAATGTTTCGTACTAAGGCCATAATGAATAAACTAATTGCAATATTAAATGTCTGAACGTAACCATTTGAGAAGTTACACTGCAAAGACTTACTTCCAAGCCAATACTAGTACAATACTTTTACACAAAAGATGCAATGTAAAACGACACGACTTGAGCTATGTTTTTTCTAGACCATTTACAATGTTATTTATGTGAGCTGGCGCTCCTAGATCTAATTTTTTTCTATTTATATCTGTATTTTAATTTTTGTAAACAATCTAGGCTAGTGCTGAGTGCATGCCTGTCTCCCGCCAGCTCTTTAACTTTAAAGTTAGTGTAGACGAGTCATGACCTGGCTATATAAATAGAACGGATGCTGCCGTGTCTTGTCCCTTTTCCAGTGTTGACCGCTGGTCAGTGCTTGATTAGCTGGTCTGTGTGACCAAGCAGTGAGTTAGAAAGTTATTTTTAGTGTTGTTCCTGTGTGGACGTGCTCTGTGTGGACTGCCTGTAAGTTGAGAAATTGTTTTATTTTTACATGATATATTTTAATTAGGATTGATTGTTGTTAGATTGTTTTGATGTAAACGGATTAGTGCCGTGCATCACCGTTTAATTACTCAGCCATTGTCTATGATGGAATTGGAAGGTCCTTTAATCTGGATAGCATCACCCCCCACGAGCCATCTCTAATGATCTCCTTGTTGCTTTTCTATACAATGTTTTATTACCTTTAGTTTCTAAAAGTATTTCCATTAATATTAGAATGATCATTTTATATATTTTTTATGTTTGTTTATATTTGATATTGCAGGCTATAATTCCTGTCTGCCGCAGTTATAGCTGTTGTTTTATTGCTGCTGTACAACGGCCATTATTTCGGCTGCCTTACGGCCTAACTGTCTGCGGTAGTTCTGCTTTACTGCTGCTAGTAGCTTACTGTTTAGTGTTGGGGTAATTTAGGTTATTTGGTGGTCGGTTTAGTTAGTAATAGTTGTAGATTTAGCAACATAGATACAGAGGCGGCAGAGGGTTTTGATTAGTGGAGTTGTTAAGTTCAGTTAAGTAGGGTTGATTAATTATTTAGTAGTGCGTATAATAGTTTTTGTTTATTTCTATGTTTATTTTCGTATTCACCTATATTTTTATTGCTTTGTAAGTTGGTTGTAAATAAAGTATATATAAGTTCCTTTTAGAATTTCAGTTTATTATTTTATTTTTAGTTAGCTAGTTTAGTTTAGTTTAGTTTGATTGTGCTGTCTGGTTGCTTGGGCGACTCTAGCCCCCTGGTCGCAGACCGAGATGCACAGATTGGGCCCACCCAGTAGAGCTACCACCTGCCTACTGTTTTAAATGAACAAATGTTGAGCAGCAGCAGATAACCAAAAAGGGCCTCACTCAGTAGCGCCACCCTGACCTACTCACATATAGAACTAAAAGAACACAAAAGCAACAATATAGTCTACCCGATCGTTCATCTTCGTCACTACAAAAATATTTCCAAAATAAGTTCGGGTAAATATCCTTCCTTAACAAATTATTCAACCGAGCGTACACAGCTTATATATATAAGCGCTATGAAGATCACCTCAGGCGTAATTTACACCTCACTGGCAAAGAGGCAAGTAGATGGCAATAGATAGCATCTGCAAGAGACAGTTGGGCAGCTATCTCAAAGGCTGCGAGATACACATGTAAGACCTAAAGAAAAGCCCTTGTTGAAGATACGAGCAGAAGAAGAAATGAAAACATAAATAGACCGCCGACGAAAGAACAACGGCTTTGTCTGCACGAGATAAGGAAAAATATACATGTCACATACCCTCTGAATGACTAGTCTGGTCTTTTTTAATATTGTTAACGCTTCCGTTGGTGGGTTTCATATCAATGACGCTACTATTGAATTAGGTGACTGTACAATTTGTTTTAGTTTTTCTTTTCATTGGAGAAGGGTTTAACCTCTGAACTCCCTTGGATACACCTACGATACAAATAGATGTGTTCATAAAAGAGTGTGTTTTTTAAACTTGTAACCTACGTCTCTATGAAAGTGAGTTAGTGTGTGCTGAAACAGGAAAATAGTTCAATCATGTCATCCTTTGCAGTAAACAACCAAGTAAAAGCCGGATATGTTCACTAGTGAGACCAAAGTCTTCAGGACGGAGGACACGATCTCCAAACTTTCCCCCTTTTGCCGAACTGGTAACCCTAAAATAATAAACCATTTTTGTTTAACAAAATGGAAAGAATGAAGTTGATATTATCTTGGCATAATTAAGCTACATACAAAAAAAAATATTTTTTAATGGCAAGTAGAAAAGTTTGTGTAACGGGAGAGAATCACGTTTCTATCAAGTTGTCTATCATTCTTGAGATACTGCAGTAGTGCAAACATCATTTTAAACAATTTAGTTTATGTAGACTGATGAGCAGACGTGAGCCACGTAGAAGCCCTAGACCACTTGGAAGGATTTAACTCAATGATCATGAATGGCTGAGGTTCTTAGACATACCCTCTAAATGACTAGTCTGAGTTTCAATCACGGCATTGTTAAGGTGTTATTGGTTATTTCTTTCCATATTATTAACGCTTCCGCAGGACAGGCTCCATGTTCAGAGTTAGTAAGACGGCCCCACTAATGGAAAAGAATGTAGGATTATTAGAACTGGGTTCACAGTTCTCCATTTCATTAACACATGTTGCTATGGTAACCGTAGATAAGATAATTTCTCCCATTTTCCTCTACTGTGACTTTTCATCAGGGCATCAACTCTGAGGTCAAGAAAATCCTTGTGTTGCAATAGACAGAAAAAAATCCTTCGATTCCGATGATTAAAGATGTGTGACCACTCAGTTCGCGACCGAGGTTCTGTTTAAGTTCTATTTTTGTCCCACGACTTTCGTGAGAGCTCTCCAGCTGCTTTTCCTCTATACTACTGAGGGTAAAATGGCGACTGAATTGATCTTTAAAGCGCTTCCGGAGAGCACGCCTGTTGGCATGCCGTCATCTCCCTTGCGCAATGAGACTGTAAGGCTCCTTGTAAAGTTTCAGAGTTTCTGGACTGCCTTATAGATAGAAGTGCTAGGTCCAATCATTATTAGAACCCACTTTTACAACGGTATATTGCGTCAAATTAGATTATTTAGTGTATATATTGTACAGTGTATTAGTCTTCTATTTGTGTTACTAATGCGTGAGTACGACTGACCAGCTGGAGCAGAATTTAGTTTTTTGATTATCCAGTCATCTCTTTAATACGATGGTAATAAAGAATATTTGCTTTTAAAAATTCGTTTTGGTGCATGCAGAAGAGGTCTAGATTTTGAAATATCGAAGTTCAAAGACCTTAGTTGTCACAAAAACGCAGTGACCTGTTTACTTAGTGAGCCACATTAACATGAAGATATTTTAAACTCATATACATTACCCTACAGCATCATGTCATCTAGCTTTGCTCTAGCCAACATAACTTAACAGTATTCTTCTAAGTTTTCAAATCAGCTAGATTTTTACAAAAATGTTTTCAGATTTTACATTGAATAAAAACATGACTAATTGCTCTAACGTTTTCAGGCAGTTTTTGTATTCAACTCTTTCAAGCTGTTATTATACAAATAATTGTGTACATATGTTTGAATTATGTTTTATAAAGCAAGATAATCTCAAGCGTGGCCTTTGAGTAGATCCAAGAAATCATGTGATCTGATTAAGTTTGAATGACACTACTTCTAGGCTACAAACACAAAAATGTTTTTGGGTTCAGAGAATAAAATGTATTTTAATAATGAATGTTTCCCAGTTCAAAATGTTTATAAATATTCAAACATTTACAAGGAACAACATTGAAATAAAATACTATCCAAATCACCAAAAGTCAAGCCAATCTCAGCTTGTAGAACTCTTGTCAACCAGTCTTAGCTTCTAGTGAATAACACAACCTAGACCACAAGGCATGCCACTAGACAAGAGTTGAATACTTACAAGTTATCAGAAGTACAACCAAACATAGTTAGGAGAAATATTTATATATACAGATTTGTTATTGAACAAACACATTCTGAAGTGGATTCCAAGCTGGGAAGTTTGGTGGTTGATCGAGAGACATCACACAAACACCTTCAAACTCTAAACTACAAGAAATGTACATAAATGCATTTGGCAAGAAAAAAAGATTTTACAATAAACTATTATTCTTGAAGTCTTTTGTAGTTATTGAAATCAACAAATCAAACAGAATGAGTTCTCTGATGTAGTAATCTGCATTCCATAAGTAATGAGCTGTGGAATATTAACATCTCAACTCCATACTTCCCATAGTAGTAGGGACTGTGATCCTAGTCTGTGGAAGTCCACATTCTTTTTTACACATAGACACTGGAGATGTTGGTTTATTCAATCAATTCCTGAATTCCTAGTTATAAAGAATTTGATTGTTGTCTTCTGTTAAACATAATGTACAGGTTACAACAAAACAATAAATACAACAAATTCAAGAATGTCACAAAGTTACAAATACACTTGATAACAAAAAAAATAGCTGCAACAATAATATGCACACAAAACAATTAGAGGACAGTTTGTCACAAAAGTCTTGTTCACAATAAAAGAAAAAGTTCTTATGTTAGACAATTTTTTTTTACATAATATACACAAAACATGAGTAAATATTCCAAACAGGTTTGTACCAAGTTCTTGCTCTGACAATAAATGTTGAACTTGGTCAAGAAGACAAAAACAAAACAACAACTAAGAAACTAAAAATGTAAATGGATAAAAGCATTTTTTGTTTTAATGTTTGTGCCAGGGAAATGTTCATTTGAAATCTATTGCTACTTAACATTTTAAAATTTTATAGCCAGGTAATGAATGCAATAATTTCAGAGACTAAAATAAGAATTAAATTCTACAAGAAATATTGTTTGGCCAATAAACATCCCAACTGCACAACCAATGAAAAGAAAAGCCTGTAACATCACAAACATATTCAGTGGTTTTTGGTTGACATGCAGTAAAAGAATCTAAAAAAAAAACCAAACTATTACAAATGTTGAGATTCTGACCTCTCTAATCTGAACAAAATGGGTGGAAAAAATCATGTGAATGTAAATAGGTTCAAACAATGAAACCAAAAAATTGATAATTTTTTTTGACATCTGAGATGTAAAGTGCATATACCTCACTTGCAATATATGCATAACAAACCTTTGTTAACTAATAGTGGCATGAATCATATAGGTATGAAGAAACAGATACACAGACACAAATTGTTTGAAATATAAATAATGATTCATACAGTGAACAAACTATTCTACATTTGGACAGCTTGGGTTTACTGGGTTATTGCATGGAATATATTTCACTGAGATGAATGAGTGGGAGTGCTATTCAAACAACAATTGTTTAGGTGGGTAACATACAATACTTTATACAACAATCTCCAAGAGCACACAACAAATCTTCATGAAGTAAAAGAAATTTAAAAACCTTCATGTACAGCTGCTAACTGGTAATAAATTAAAACATGTACATACTATAAGTACAACCAAAAAAATGACCATATTAGTTTTATATTCTGAAAAAGTATATGAGTCACAATGATTTTATTTTTTGTTGGCAAAGATGATTGAAGGAAAATACCTGACATCTATATCCTGTTATATTTCATTTTCCATGCATGTAATTCAACAACAAGAATAGCAGGATATACTATTTATATCCAAGAAAATGTCTGAGCAGAGCTTTAGTGGAAAAGTATGTCTTAGATTACTTTCAAAAGTCTTTGTTATATGAAATATATTGTTCTAATCAACCTGCGTCCTGTATGATATTGACTTTGTTACCTTAACCAATATGTTCAGTTCATTGTGTAACATAATGAATGTCATGAGATTGTAATAAGAATGGAAGATTTTATATATAAATATAAAAATAAAAGGGAAAAAAAATTTATACTAGTTCTATAATAAACTTCAGTATTTATTATGGAGCTAATTATGTCATTTGTTTACCATTGAGATAATTACCCATTATGCTTTTGAAACAAAATAAAATTTGACAACACTTAACATTCCAATTTGTAATTAAAAAAAACAATAACAATAAACCAAGGCCAATTAAATCAGATCTTATGGTTGCTAGCACAGGTGACAATTTAAGATAACAAGAGAAAAAATCACAATTCTTACATGTGAAGTCAATGCTATTTGATATACACATTTGAAATTTTGTGTCAGTTCAAATACTATGATAAGTAAACTTTTGCAAATCTATTATTTAACACAAAAAAGCTCATATAAGTGCAATCACATCAATTAGTTTGGTCATGTCATTAAATTTCTAATAGATCTAGAGTAACAATAATATTTCTATGCAATTAGAAATATTTTACCAACTGTTTTTCTTTGGCCAAATTTCATGATTTTAGCTTTCTTAAAGCGCTATCACTTGTCTGATGGAGTTAGAAAAGGAGGGGGGATGAAAGAAGGGGGTAACTTGAGAGCTCAAGCCTCCTCAAGCCAATACATTAACCATTGTGCCAGGAAGTGCTTATGAAAATAGAAAGTTTTAAAGTTATTTATTGTTTGTTTAAAACTTTTAAGCTAAGTATAACGCCAATTCAGTCAAGTACATTTTTTTTCCTTGTTTGATACCAAACAAAATAATTAAGTATCAATAGTTAGTTCACTAATTGGTTAATTTTTTTTTTTTTTGATTCTAGTGTTGTCAGGTACAAGAAAAAATGGTGCAAACTTTCATCTTGATCCGAGATTGGGTGTGGGAGAAATAATGTGTACAGACCTTTTACCAGACAGACAATTTATTATTATTACTACAAACATACTAGGAGAAAGAGCTTCACAGTTCCAACCTTCAATTGTGTCCAATGAGAAAGACTACCATGCATTCACACAGTACAATGCCTACAATAACAATTTAAATTCTTCTATAATGTTGAGTGACCAGGTGTAGTCCAAGTAGGTCAGAAGATTATAATAGCCAAGTTAACATAACTGAAAATTGATCGTGATGTTAAAAACCAAACCAACATTATAAAAGTAAAGTTCCCCATTCAGACTTTGCAATCTATAGGGCAGATGATGCTAAGGTAATCCGTCTCATTGGCCAACAATTAACGAGCAGGCTGTCATGTGGCCATCACAACGACCAACCGCCTTTACTTTCCCCAACTCAAGTCAGGTACCCATTAGAGCTGGTTGGACTCAGGGATGCCATAAAAATACTGAAATCCAGTCTTCACTAAGATTGCAAACCAGGACTCCAGGTTCGGAAGCCAAGGGCTTAACCACTAAATGAAATAACATGATACAGGAATAAAATTATGCATGAAAACTTTGTTCTATTTTGTTGAACAAAATTTTACATAGTGAAATAAAAAAAGATGGTAAAAAAGAAGGCTAAGAAGAATGACATGAACAATAAGCTGAAGTTAGTAAAAAGATGCATTTAAAGTTTAGTTTACTTTCTTTAATTGCTGATAACAATATAAAGAGTTATACTGCAGACCTTTGGATGGTAGAGGATAGAATAAACAGCATTCCACACTCCAAAAAAATTATCCTATGACATTCAAAAGTAAAAGAATGCATTATGCAATCTCTGACATGCCAGAAATGCAAACCTTCCCACCTCCCCATAACAACTAAATGCTATCATGCCAAATATGAGTGTAGATATGAAATACTATGCATAGCACTCATCACACACAAAAACTATCAGCCGCTAAGACATTTAGTAAGCTGTTCTGTTCAAGTTCTACAACTAAGCTCCAGCAAAGGTTCCATAACCAGGCAGGCTCATTTAGGGAGTATAAGATGTTACTAGGTTAGTTCCCCTGCCAGTAAAAAAAAAAAAGGAAAAAAAAGCAGTAAATAGCATAGCAGTTATAAAAAACACACAAATAAAATGGAGTATGGAAAAAATATTCTAGAGTGGTTTCTTATTATTAAAATGTCTATTTTTCCACATCACTTTTCAATAATTTTTTTCAAATAATGTCAATATGAAAACAGTTTTTTGTTTTGATTCAAACTTTTGAATTTAATTTTGTTGGATTGGGTTTTGAATTCAAATATTATGAACAAAGACTTGACTTTCACGAGTCTGACTTCCATGGAAAGGCTGTACCACAAGATTTTTAAAAAATTTAAATGAAAATATACTTTGCATTTTTTTTTAACACCATGGGTTTTTCTGCAACAGCCCAATGTATATGTATTGTATGGGGGAAAATAACTGAATACATCATTGACAAACTTCCTGGATGCTGATTGGCTGAAATAACTGTTTATCAAATCAAATGGTTAAACATATGCTAGGCCACAGTACCAAGGAATCCTTATCACACACCTACCAGCCTTCATCCCCCTAGTATGTTAAGCCTCCTAAACATTCTGCACTGAGTGTAGGAAGCACAAGCAAAAAGACTAGGCTATCTGATGAGATGTTTAAAATCATAAACATAGAAGAGGGGCAAGTCTCAGAGAAGCTATGCACTACTGCAAGGCACTCTTTTGGTGATTACTGTAAGATTAGTTTGGTTTGCATGTAATAGAGACTTTTTTCCCCCAGGGAAATTAGAAAAAAAGTGCAGTTAAGCAATCTTGATTATACAAATATAGATATTTATCTATGCTTATGGAAGTACTATTGTAAAATGATTTCACTTTAACAAAAATCTTCAAAATCATTCTCACTATCGGCTTGATCTGTGGAGTCCTCCAAGGTCAAAGACTTGAGACTGGTTGATCTTGGTGGTGGTATATTTGTAGTTCTCCTTAACCTAGGAGACAGAGTATAGTCTTTGGTGAAAACATTAATCACTTGCTGGGGTTTTTCTTTTCAAATGGTATAAACTTGAGACATAAAAATACATGCTTACCTAGACTGCAGATGGTTGACCTGAACCTGCAAGCTTTCCACCTGTGCCTGGAGTTCATCACTTGCTCTTTGTGCTTTACGAGCAGCATTGCCCTGCTTGTCAACCTACAAGTCAAATGTGTTAGTGAATAATTTTACTTGTATTTTTTTTTAAATAGAATTTAATTTAAAAGAAGAATATGCAAAATCTAACAGCTTTTTTAAAAACAAATAAAACCACTCCTGCTAGTCAATAATTTTTGCTTTAACAATTTCATAACGGTTTTTAAAACAAAGGGCTTAAAAAAAATTTATTCTGAGGAAACTTATAGAAAGAAAAAGACCAGAATCTTCTTGTAGAAAATGCTGACCTCATCTTCTGCAACCCCGAGGTCATGTTTCAATTCATCCACTCTGCTCCTCAACTTCCTGACTTCAGCCTCGTACATCTCTGCTCGGCGTCTG